AAATGTAAATGAAGCCGCGATCATTTAAATCGCGGCTTCATTTGCCTTTGCCAAAACAACAAATCTACATGGCTCGGTCGACGGAGCCATGTAGTTTAGACATACCCCCTATGTCTAGAAACCTCATCTACATGGCTCCATCAATGGAGCCATGTAGTCTAGACATACCCTTTGAGATTAGTAGTCTGATCTGGCTCTGTGAATCGTGTGTGTCTTTGTTAGATTTGTTTTCTAAGTAGACAGAAGTTGCATTGGTGGATATAGTCTACTCAGTGCAAACACCATTCCCATTAATGTTAATAATACCGAAGACAGCAGTGGGCAATAATATTTGATGAGGGGCCACTCCAAGATTTTGATAAGTAGTCAAAGGCTACTTTTCTATGGAGAGAGTGCAGGGTCTGGGACAGAGGCTGGGTGCAAAAGGATGCTTGGGGTAGGGCCCTGTGGTACAGGAGAGAGTGTGGGGTCTGAGAGAGAGTTTGGATGAAGGAAGGAGTTGTGATCTGGAGCAAGGGATTGGGGTGCAGGAGAGGATTCTGCCATGGGCAGGGAAGGTTGCAGATTCTAGAAGGGAGTTCTGACCTGGGGAAAGGGGGCTACAGAAGGTTTGGGAGTGTCCTGAGGCAGGGAGATGGTGTGTGGGATGGGGCTGAAGTGTTAGAGGCAGGCTGTGGCCAGGAGGCACTTACCTAGGTGGCTCCTGGCCAGCAGCTATGCAGGACCCCAAGGTAGGCTCTCTGCCTGCCACAGCCTAAGACTGCTCAAAACTGCTGGCTGCTCCATTTGGCTTTCTGGTCCGGGTGCTGGGGGTTGGGGGAGATAGAAGCTTTGCTCACTGTCCCCGCCCCAAGCCCAATCTCTCCACTCCTATTTCTGGCCAACGGGAGCGAGGAGTTTGGCAGCACACAAAACCTCCCCCTCCAGCCTCCGGAACAGAGAGCCACTGGGAGCAGACCAGTGCTAAAAGCAGATATCTCATATCTTTATGCTCTACACCTCATGGTGCTGGCAGGGCAGTATGTGGTCTGGCCTATCTTGCCTGCTCCTGACCTAAGTGGACAGCAAAGCCTGGATGTTACAAAAAATACCACTGAGCAATTGCTTTGTTTGTGAAAATAAAAATAGAATCAGTCTAACTTTCATTAACATTGTTATGCTTTTTGCTTGGGTGAGGAGAGGTCTGAAGTACATCCTCCTAAAGGCTTTTGTGACAATAAAGACAGGCTACGTCTGCACTACCAAGTTTTGTCAATAACACTTATGTCGATATGCCAAAGTCAACAAAACAAAAATCACCAGTGGGTGTTCACACTTGCTGCCTCTGATTATATCTACACTGGGAGCACCATGTTTGACAATGAGCACAATGCACTGTGGGTATTTATCCCATAGTGTAGCATTGTGGGAAGGCCAAGATTCCCTCCGAGTTCTCCCACAACCTCCTCAGCTGCTGTGAGAGGCATCATGAGTAGCTCTGTGAGCTCTCTGTTCTGAGCAATGTCAAAGCAGCACAGCAGTCTCTCCAGCCTTCCCCATGCAGCAGCAGTCTGCCTGCTGCTGTGTTCCTAGAGCAGGGAAAACCATCTCTGTGGTGGCACCTGCCTCCCACCATGCTGGGGAGTGGGCTGGTGAAGCTGCTCTGCATTCCACGGAGCAGACTCTCTGCAGTGAGCCTGGGCCCACCCCGGACAGAGGCTACCTTGTGGTAGCAGCCTCTGTCTGCAGAAGGGGTCTGAGGCTCTGTGGAATGCGGAGCAGCCTCTCTCCATGGGGAGTTTGGACCCCTCATAAACAGGGGCTGCTGCCACCCCACGCTGCTGCCTCTGTATCAGAGGCAGCAGCACAGGGCAGCAGGCAGCTGGTCCAGAAGGGGAACTGGTTTTTAAACCAGCACCCCTCTCAGACCAGCTCCCACATGCCACCCCCTGCTGCTGCCTCTGATAGAGAGGCAGCAGTGTGAGGGCAAGGGGCTCACCAGGAGTGGGCCTGGGAGCACACTGGCTGCCAGCCCCTCCATTGCAGGTTATCAAATAGCTGTCTAACCACTAAAATTTCACATGGTTATATGCCTGTTCAGTTACACAGTAGCTAACATCCATACTACTGATATGTGTGAATCTGCTTTAGTGGCCAAGATCACCCAAATGGAGACAGAAAGAGCCAGCTTGTGGGCTAGACTAGTGACTGCAGAGGGGCTGTACTCAGCAGTGGGGGGCCTACTCCATGCCCTTGGAAGGGGTGGGACCTCTGGCAGAAGGGGCAGAGCTGGGCAGCCAACTCTCAGTGCAGCACTGCCCCTCCCCCTTCCCCTCAGAGCCCTGTGGCACACCCAGCGTGGCACTTTAGCAGCGATTCAAAGGGGCTCGGCTCCAGGCCCCTTATAATTGCTGGGCCACAGGGCAACTGCCTCCTTTGCCCCTCTCTCTCCTCCTGTCCACAGGCCTGGCAGTACTATAGGCTTCCAGTCTGCCTGCCTGCCGCTGGAGATGAATTCATCTCTCCTCTCTCTAGAGTCTCCCCCACTCCTCCAGGGGCAGGGTAGGTATGTAGTCTGATTAGTCAGCTTCCTGCAGGGTCTGAGAATATAACTAGGTGCGTCACTCTTCTGCATCCCTTCAGCTGGCTTTGGTAAAGCTAGTGCTTCAAGCTGCTTCTCTCCCTGTTTCCTCTGTGAACCTTGGGGGTACAGCCCGACTGGAGACAGCAGAGTTTTGACTAATGGAGTTAGAATAACTTGGGTCTTATCTGCTCTGGAAAATTATTTTGCTCTTCATATGCCAGTCAGTTTCTGTTATAGCTGTGCCAGATTAACTCTCTTTTGTGTGATATTCTGGAATAAATGTGATTTTATTCCACTTTGATTGTAATTGCTTTCCTGGTCAGTTTCCCTGTGTACACAAACACTGCAATTTCATTAGGAAATATGTGCACATTCAAATTAATGACATTCAATTTTTTCTTCTTTATTGCAGGAAGGAAAGGATAAAATGTTTTTACTTAATAAACTACAGCATCTGCAAACATCGAAACGAGATGCACCAGAAGAACAAGTGGTCAGTGCAAAGGTGGGTGTTTCCATGTTTGAATTCTTTAGATAAATGTGCACAGTGATCCCTTCTGGCCTTATCTACAGACTGCTGATTTTATAAATCAGGCACCATTTTTGGGTACATCCACACTCATTGTTAACATCTTTGCAAAGGCTAGACTGAAACAATGCCACTGTTTGTTCCAGGCAGGGCTGGCCCGAGCCATTCCGGCACCCCGGGCAAACAGTTTAATTGCGCCCAGAGTTGGGGGAGGGTTCATGCGCGGCCCCGCCCCCACGCCAGCACAAGGGAGAGGACACATGCGCAGCCCCGCCCGGCGCGTGGGGGAGGGCGCGCGGAGCTGGAGACAGCAGGATGCACATGCCCAACCTGGCCCAGCCCAGCTACTGCCGCTGGCGCACAGCCTGGGTCCGCTCGGGACGGGCCGAGCCTGGCCGTGCAGGGCCCCGCGGGAGAGGGGCGCTGCTGGCTGGCGCTGAGGGGGTTAACGCAGCCCCTGCCCGGGCGCCCGGCGCCTGATGGCAGTTGTAAGGGGCACTGTGTGCCCCTTACAGCTGCCATCAGGCGCCCTCCATAGGTTGGCGCCCTGGGCAGCTGCCCGGCTAGCCCATGCCTTAATCCAGCCCTGGTTCCAGGCAGTACCTTACTGAGGGGATGTGCCTAAGGTAAAAACCTCCAGTAAAGACAAACCTCCCTGCTGGTGTTTACAAAGCCATAGGAAACCTTCCTAACATAGGTGTGTTGTGACAGCCACAAAGGGTTCATCTACTCTTAAGCCTCCTGTAGATTAGGGGGAAAGGATCTTTCCCCTTCACCCCCAAGTCTGTTACGTCACAGAAAACCCCATTAACACGAACACCGATAGTTCTTAATACCTTTTTGGCTTGAAATTAACAGGTCAAGATTAGCCTGAAGTGAGGTTTTTGACCTTTTAAATGAGCTCATTTGAACTAATTGGACTTGAAAAAAGAACCCTGTTCCTAGTCTAGATGAGGCTGAGATAAGTCCGTCCATGGAATGTATTCAGCCGTGTGAGTTAAAATGTTTGTCCTGTGTTCTGCTACTTGCATACTGTCCCCCAGTATCCTGTTGGGATAGATGGATGGAGTTCTGAGCTGGCTAATCAGCTGTATTCTCCCCCTACCTTCACATCTTTCTTCTGGGCTCTTTGGTCAGATTTACACTAGGGGAGAAAATCAACCTAAGATACGCAACTCCAGCTACATGAATAGCATAGCTGGAGTCAGTGTGCCTTAGGTTACATTTCTGCTGTGTTCCCACTGCAGGAGGTCGACAGGAGAAATTCTCCCATTAACTTCCCTTACTCCTCATGACCCAGTAGAGTATTGGAATTGACAGGGGTGCAATTAGCAGTTGATTTAGTGGGTCCTTACTGGACCCACTAAATCGAACCCCAGGAGATTGATCTCCCCAGCATCAATCTCCCAGTGAGTGGGGACAAGGGCTTTCATGCTAAGACCACTTCTTTCTCCGTTTCAGTTATTCTGCTTTTCTTTACAGAGTCCCCTTTCTTCCAACGTCACATCCCACAAAGCCACCAAAAAGAAAGGGAAGAAAGCTAAAAAAATAGTAAAAACACAAACAAAGGAAAAGAGCCCAAAGACAAAAAGAAGAAAATAAACTTTTTATCTCAGGAAGCTCCGTGCATCCAGATTCTCAAGTAGCATAGCCAGAGCAGGCTACTTACTACAGCTTTCAGCAAAGCTGCCCACACTCTGATATCTTTCCTCTACAATGCACAGTGCTCTTCTCTTCCACTTAATTATTTTGTATCAAACGCAATAAAAGAGTTTTGTAGTAACCGATGAATGGTCAGTGTAATGCTACAGGGCCAAGTATGCCAATCGAACAATGAGAGGCAGACCACCAGAATATCAGAGTGGTAAGAGCAAGGAACTGGGGGCTGAGATCCAAATTGTATTTCTTACTGGCTGGGTGGCTTTGGGCAACTAATTTACATCCACCCCTCAGTTTTCCTATCTGAAAATTGGGAGTTATGAGATTCACCTGTCTTTGAGCTTATTTAACAAAAGGCTTTGTGCCATGCTTGCCAAAAAGCACTAGTGTTATTTCTCAGTATGTCCACAAGATGGAGGAAGGAGCCACATACAACTGAATAACAGGCCTAAGCAGGTGTATTCATGTTGTCAAGTCAGATGGAGGTACCTCTCCCTGCCCTAATGAACTCTGAGCACTTCGGAGGTTGGGGTTAGAGTTTTAAATTAACTTGTTAAACTTCAAACTTGTTTGAAGTCAACTGATTAAATTCAATAAAGACAAGTGCAAAGTATTACAGCTAGGAAGGAAAAAATCTATTAATTCTAAAATAATCTAAAAAGTAATTCATTAGGTAACCCAGCTCTACTCCCAGGGAGCTGGTTGCTGCCCTGCACTGCAGGCTCTGATACTGAGCCAGCAGCGTAGGTAGCGGTTGCCAGATGGTTTCAACAAAAATACTGGACACACGACATTACATCACAATCTGCATTACATCTTGTTTAGAAAACACCGGACATTTATATTTTCTCAATTTGTTTCCCAAACAGAAAGCTCAAATACGGGACTGTCTGGTTTAAAACTGGACACCTGGCAACTAAGCATAGGGTGGCAGCCGGCTCCCTGGGAGCAGGGCTGGGAGCCAGCATGTAACTGTTACGGTAACCAGTAAACCCAGGCTTATCAGTTAACCATTTAAACCACTTAAACAGTTTATATCCATATCCCTAGTACAAAATGTCGGAAAAACCCCTCTGTTCTTTCCATTTTTTTTCTCTCAAAAGAACACAGTTGCAGTGTGGACGTGAGGGTTTTTTTTTTTTAATTGCCATTTAAAAAAAAAAAACTCTGCAGTGTAGACATACCCAGAGACGGATTGTTTTTCTTTTTAATCCCCAGTGTTCTTTGTTCCCATTAAAGTCAAATAGTAAAACTTCTACAGATTACTTTGGGGTAGGATTGAATTCTCTGTTGGGGCTGCGCTGTGCTTTCAGTGTCTAATCTACCTCCATGTTTAGATTAGGGCTAAATCGTGACTCTACCAAGATTGATTTTAGATTTTCTGAAAACATGTACATCTGCCTGAACTGGATAGTCCTGTCCCTGACAGCAGTGCACGTGCTTTTGCTCACATGCTTTATTATTATTCATATGCTAGAGATTTACCCGGCATTGCTCAATTAATTTTTGTTTTTCTTCATTTAAATCATTGTTCTGGGGTGGGGGTGGGGATGAGGGGTTCAAGTACAGACTGCTTTGGGGAGAAAGGACAACCCCTGCCCTCTCTCTCTGCATCAATTTGGGGCCAGGTGAGAAGCTCCTTTCCGTGACTTCTGCAGCTAGAACATATCCAGGCTTGTGTGCCCCCTGCGCTTCCCAATAGGGATGTGACTGGTTAAGCGGTTAACCAGTTAACAGGTGAGGCTTACCGGTTAAGGTTAACAGTGAAGGCTAGAGCAGCCCCCCCTCCACACCTGCCATGGGCAAGGGGCTGCTCCAGGCCCATGAGGGACTCTCTGCAGACAGGGAGTAGCCCCTGTCCACGGACATCTGCAGCAGCCTCTGTCTGTGGCAGGCCCGGGTGCCCCACAGGCAGGGGCTGCTCCAGCATCTAGAGCAGAACCTGCCTGCGGTGGGGGAACTGCTCCAGCCCTCATGCCCAGGCCCGGCCAAAGAGTTCGTGGGGCCCAAGGCAGCATGTTGTGTTTGGCTGGGCCGTGCAGCTCCCAGTCAGGGCAGTGAGTGGGCGGGGCTGGGAGCTGGGCAGCATGGGGCCCTGAATGCGCAGGGCCCAAGCTAACCGCCCTGCTCTCCTTGCCCAAAGGCTGGGCCTGCTCACACCCCCTCCTTTTAATCAGTTAACTGGTTAAACAATATGGTTAGGGTTTAACTAGTTAAACAGAATTTTACATCCCTACTTCCCAGACAGAGTGAGGAATGGAACAAAATGTGCACCTCCCCTGACTCCCTGACGTAGGGGAACAGCCAGCAGCATTCCTGTATGAATGGGGGAGTGAGCTGCCGTGCCCCCAGCCCTCCCTAAAGGGTGTGGAGAGGAGGGAAGAAAGATTTGTGTCTGGGGTAGTCCCACATGGGAAGGTTGCACCCCAGCCAGCCCCTTTCACCTGCCCGTCTCTTTTCTTTCTGGTTTTAGGCATCCACGTATGCATGGGGGAGGAGGAGAGAGCTTCAGCCCACTCCCCTCCCTGCCCCCCACATAACCAACCTTTACCTTGCATTAAGTTAGGTTAAAGGAAGCCACATACCAACTGTAGTGGTCCTAGCTCTTACCACTTAAGAGGAGTCCTGGAATAGGCACACAGACTCACTCGCTCACTCACAGACCATCTCTCTCAGATATATAGTAGATGACAGGTACAGGCCACGGGATGGGCCTGAGTGGGCTTTGGCCCACCCACTTTGTATCCAGGTCCACATGGCATCTTGCCCAGTGCTCCAGCTGGAGAGCAGGACCAGAGCTTGGCCTGTTGCGCCCTGGCACTCTGGCTGGGAGTGGGGTCAGGGCTTCTTCCTCCTGTCCCACTCCTCTCCCCCCATTCTTTCCCACCCACCCAAAGTCAGGGCCCCTTCTGGCTACCCCCCTGGGATGCTGAGATGGGTAAGCTCACATTTTGACTCCCTCAGAGCTGCTTTCCCTCTTCTAGGATATATGCTCTTCCTGTTTTGATCAGCTCTAAGAGCACTGTCATGGGAACCTTTCTCAGCCCACAGGGATGTATAGGCAACCTGGGAGTTGCATGAACCTCTTTGGATAAGAAAAAGAATAGATGACACACCAAAGTCAAATTGAACCTAAGGCTTTTTGGAGATTTGGAAGATGCTTGTTTGTTTGTTTGTTAAATCACATCTTTGATGCTAATTCTTCTAGAATTTCCAGCCAAGCTGAACTCAGGGCATGTAGAAATCTAGCCAGGAACTCTGTTAAAATCTTGTATTGACTGGCTGTAAGTTAATGCTCTCTATTTGAGAGCAAAATGTGGGCATTTCAGGGTTAAGTTTGCAATTGCAGGGAATAAGCAGAGACTTGTCTGAGAGCCGTTCTGGAGTGAGAATGTGAGCCTATAGCCCTTCCTAACATCTAGAAAAATGTAATAGCTTTTAAAGCGTACATTTTCCTGTGGCCTAGCAAGCCCCCCTTTCAAATGTAGGTATCAAAACCCACCGCATGTGGAGCTGTGAGGGAGAGACGGAGCAAAGCGCACGGAGAAGTGGCACATTTTGCTAATGTGCCTGGGGATGGGATTTGGGAGTGGGAGGAACAACATCCACAGAGCAGCTACAGTCGTGGGTATTCACATTACTGCTCATCTGACATGCCCTCTTCCACAGAGGAGTTCATCTTCGTACCCGCCGTCTGGACAAGCTGCTCTGCAAATGCGGGTATCCGTGACAGCCTCCCTAGAAAGGCCATTTGGGAGAAATGAAAGAGACTTCGATACTGAGGTATGATAAGCCCCCCTGAAAAGGGTCGGTTTAAAGTGTAATTGTATGGAAGACCGGAGTTTTCATTTGGAGATCGTGATGACAGGACCACCACAGTTTGCAGACACCTCCCACCCCCCACCCCCATCAGAAACTATTTCTGATATAAAAATGTAACAAGAAAAGACAAACATCTGTCAGGGATGGTCTAGAACGGGGCTGGGCAAGAGGCTGTCACTGGGCTGCATCGGGCCTGTCTAGCACTTTCATCTGGCCTGTGGCAGCTCTCGTCCCCTAACACATTGCCTGGGAGCCGCCCGCCCAGGAGGCATGAGCCCTTTCAACTCCTGCTATTTAAAGGGCTCGTGCCTTCTGGGCAACAGCTAAGGCACAAGCCCTTTAAATAGAAACAGCTGAAAGGGCTCTCAATTCCCAGCCCAGTCGCTAATGCATTGCCTGAGAACCGTGCGGGAGGTGCAAGCCCTTTCAGCTCCTGTGATTGAAGGCCCCACCCTTTCTGCCTGAGGCCCCACCCCTTCTGCACCAGCCCGTAACCACTTCCCAAACTTGGGAAGTGGCCCCCTTTCAAAAATGATTGCCCACCCTGATCTAGACAGTGCTTGGTCCTGCCTTGAGGGCAGAGGACTGGACTTGATGACCTTTTGAGGTTCCTACCAGTTCTAGGATTCTATGAGTCTTTCTGAACAAAATCCTAGCCAGTTCTTCACAAAGCCACATAAGATTGTTAAAAGCAAAAGATACACTTGTTTGTGAACAAAGTTCTGTTTTACATATAAGGCAACAAGCATATTGGTGGGAAAATATGGAAGCAAATATTCTGATTTACTGTGAATTTTGTTTTCAGTTGTCCTCTGCTGGGATATCAGAAGGGATTGGCTTCTCTCCTGGTAAGCAATAAATGCTCAACACAGAGAAAACAACTCATAGAAGTTTAGCTTCATAAGATTTTGAAATGCAAAGATCAAAGTACAGTAATGGCAACAGATTTTGTTCTTCCAAAGATCAGGAATAGATAATCAGATTAAGTCATTAAAGCCAGTATCTCCAGAAGTGGAGACCATGGTGTCTCCTGCTTTATTACTTGCACAAAATTCTGTTATTCCCACACTCTAGGGGCACCCACATTAACCCACTTCCTAGGACTCAGGGCATAACTCTGTTAATTTAGGCACCCACCTTTACCCTTTTACTAGGGCTCAGATGTAATTTTACACTCTAGGGCATACAACCTTACCCTGTTCCTAATGTTCAGGCATAAGCTTGTCAGTTTAGACACTCACCCTCACTTTCTATTGGCTCTGGTGTAACCTTACACTCTGAAGGTTTGTGGGGTCTTTTACCAGTGAGAGAGTCCTACTCAGTAATACTCTACTTACCTTCTATTTATTAACAATAGTGCACATGCTAAACATCCAGTGCTCATCACTTCCTATAAAGCAGGTGAACTGGTCTTGATGCCTATCAAAATCAGATCATCTGGGGGACTCCAGCTTCTGCACAGTGTCCTTGGTAGCATGTTGACGTCTGGCAGCTATGATCGTGGGCCTGTATCCTGGAATTGTTTCCAAGAACTTCCTTTGGGGAGTTCCTTTTATATAGTGAAACTTTGAGCAATATTGTAACTAATCATTTTACTAGCCAATCCTAAAATATTGTCACACAATTCTCTAGTCTAACCTGTCATACCTCACCACCTAATTAATTTACATCTAGAAAAAATAGTTATGCAACAGAGAGAAACAAAGAACCAGATAGCGATCATACAGATGATAGAGAAGTGGGGACCATTAAATACAAAAAAGCAAATAAATGAGGATTTCACAACCACAGCTATTGAAAAGTGATTCTTTGCCTGGCAGAATGCTCTCTAACTAAGTTTTCCTTAAGCAACTTAAGGTCTGTTTCTTTATCTGCTGATGGTGTGTGCTGTTAGGACAGGATCTCTTTCACAGCCCACTATTACATTGTTTTAATGTAATTTTGATGGAATGTGAGGATATGTCTTTCTGCTTCTTAGCAAATGGCAGCTGCTGCTCTCCTAAGATGGCTGCAGACAAAGGCTGCAGACGGGGGGTGGGGAACCTGCAGCCCAGGGGCTGGATCTGGCCCCGAGGCTCGGGGCTTCCCCCCAGCATTGTGGAGCTGGCGCTCCAGCCCTGCAAGCCCCCACCCCCGACCTCACACCCCCAGCCCGCTTCCTGGCAGCCTCCTCCTGCATACTGAACTTTTCATTTTTGGCTCCACCCTAGAGTGTAGGAGCCCCACAAAATCTACTAACGTGGGGCCCTCCTAGACTATGGTGCATGAAGGTTTTTTATTTTTGTGTTTTGCTTTTCACTTTTGTGTGCCCGACTGATTTTTTTTTTTCTGTGGGTCAGTAACCCCTGAGCCAAAAAAGGTTCCCCGCCCCAGCTTTACACCATGGCTACAGGAAAAGGCCTTATCTTAACAGCCTCAGTTTTTAACGTGCTTAGCTAGACATCTTGGGCTCCACTGACTGACGTACACTCTTAGCTCTACTTGGAGCTGTGTGCAGTGGTGGATTAGCCAACCGGGCCTATGTTTGCGGCACCTCTCCGCAACCCACCTGCTGTGGAGTGGGGGAGGGGTGTTGGAAGGGGACTGCAGGTGGAAGGGGTGGGGACCAGCCCCTGCTTTCTCTGGCCCAGGGCCCCACAAACCTTTAAGCCACCTCTGTGTGAGCTTAGTGCTACTGAAAATCAGGCTCAAGCTGTGTCCAACTCGGAGGCTTCTTTGGAAATTTGGCAGCAGACTTCTGCGTACCCAAGAAGTGAATTCCTTGCAACAAATGAAACTCTATGTCCTCTTTGGGGAGTCTGGAGGGAATACTGCATCCCATTAAGGGATGTAATTTCACTTAGCATTTGATGCAAAGAGGGCTATTAAGTGTGTATAGTGGCCTAGAGTCTTCATAAAGCCATAGAATCTCATTAATAAGCTTGATTTGGCCTGCACACACGTATCTTTACACCTTGTACTTGAGATGGTTTAAAACATAGGCACTTTGTTACAAATGGCCAGCTAACATCGTTATACATGTACTCACTAGAGCCATCTTACTTGCTTTGCTACATGCAGATGCAGAGGAACACCGACCAGGGATTTCGGAGACTCTGGCACTGGCTCTGAGAGCCAGACAACAGGCTGAATTGGAAATGGAAGATGACGACGACGATGATGATGATCACTATAGATCATGAACTAATTGCTAGAAGTACTTCTGGTAGAACTTCACTGTTTTGCACTAATGGTTGGAAATCCATTGGAAATGACTCTAATAAGAAGCTAAGGAAAAATGAAGCAAGAACATATCAGAAAATGCACTTTATCAGTTGCAGCTTACATTTTTTAATTTCATAGTATATGCACTGTACTATTTTGTTTTGTTTTTTTTTAAATGAAAGCTTGGTAATATTACATCTCTCTAGCATCTGATGTGAACTCTTTGCTGGAATACAGCAAATGATCACCATTCATCCAGTTAGGGAGAAATGTTTATTATATCAGTGTAATTTGTGCCTGATGGCAAATGCAAATTACGATTCTGCAATCCTTGATGGTATTCTTGTATATGAACATGCTTTGATCAGGTGGTTCTCAGGTGAATTTTTTAAAAGTGTAAATGAAGTATTATAAAATAAAGGATTCTAACCTATTTAAAACCAGTTCACTATAAAACTAAGTGAATCCTACTTCTCTGTCTCTCTCTTCACAATTACGCTTATGCACTTTTTCAGCATTTAACAGTGTCATTTTTGAATGGCTGTATGTAATGCAATAAACTCAATCTTGTAATGTAAGTTGTGGGGTTTTTTTTTTTGTTATGACTTCACAAGTGCAGATTTTACCACTTACACCAACTGCCACAGAAGGTCTTTTTCTCCGTATTTGCGGCAGTTCCAGCTGCCACCTGGGACATGTCAAGTCACAAGCCCAAATTGAAAACAAAGGGTCACTAGCACCTAGCTACTCCAGCATGCATAGGTAACATCTGTTGGGGATTTTATCCCTGTAATTTTGGGCAGCATGCTGCACTGCTTCTTTTATTGCAGCAGTCTTTGCCACCTGCAGAGTCCTACCCTGGTTACACTGTGCATCTTAACTTCTTCCACTTATCTTGGTTCTCACTTCTTAGATATTCTTAAATATCTCCCTTTTGTCCTCTAGTTTTCCAACTGCTTTCCTAATTTAAGAATTAGCCTTCAGTGGGGTTACTGTTGCATCTGTTTCTCTGGGAATTCCTTCTTCCCCTGTTGTCATTTCACATCTCCTCCTCTGTCTCCTCTTAATTCATTTCCCTATATTACATTTTTGGCCTTTTCTTGATATTTCCTCCCCTACCTAATACAATACCACAAATGTGCCCGAGGCTTTAGAAAAAAAGACCAATACCTGCCTCAAGGAGCTTACACTCTAAGCTAGTGCTGGAGAGATGGAAGAGAAGGTTTACACAATGTAAGACTGAAGTGTTGCGTTATTAAAGTACATCTGATACATACACATTAAATCTAGGCTTTGCTGTGCAGTGGAGGAAGTTAACTCAGGTGTAGGGTCAGCAATAGAAGGCTATTCAAAAGAATGGGGCTTCTGAGGAGAGATGGGAAGTACGGGCTGCATGGCACGAGATAAAAATTGCTTCGGGTCGAGGGGCTGCTAAGGTAGTTCTGGAAAGCTGCAACATTAAGGCAAGGGCTAATGCTGGAACATAGGATATGGCTTCAGAGGAGCTGTAGGGACAGACCTTTGTCAGAAAGTACAAAGAGTAGGGCTGCGTCTAGACTGGCAAGTTTTTCCACAAAAGCAGCCGCTTTTGCGCACAAATTTGCCAGCTGTCTACACTGGCCGCTTGATTTTGCTCAAAAGCACTGACGTTCTACCGTCCGAAATCAGTGCTGCTTGCGCAAATGCTTTGACATTCCCGTTTGAGCAAAAGCCCTTTTCCGAAAATGTTTTTGCGCAAGACGGCCAGTGTAGACAGCTAAAAACTGTTTTGCGCAAAAAAGCCTCAATGGTGAAAATGTCGATCGGGGCTTTCTTGCGCAAAAGCGCATCTAGATTGGCATGGACGCTTTTCTGCAAAAAGTGCTTTTGTGGAAAAGCGTCCGTGCCAATCTAGACGCTCTTTTCCGCAAATGCTTTCAACAGAAAACTTTTTCCGTTAAAAGCATTTGCGGAAAATCATGCCAGTCTAGACATAGCCTAGGTGGGTAGCTTCACAGTATGAGAGAGTGAAGGCTGTGGGTTTGAAAGCCAAGGCAGATGCCAACTGGCTCGAGAGAGATGAACTTAGCCAGAAAGAAAGAGACTGGAAAAGTCTAGGGGGGAAGAATACCAAACCTGTGGCGCAAACTCAGTTCTGTTGGCCCAGCATTGTATATATTTTTTCTCTGTACCCTGTGCTTATAGTTCATTCCAGAAACAAGCAAGGGAGAACAGTTTCAGCAGGTGGCATGTAATGGCTCAGATCCAAGTGGCAAAACAAGGGCTGTGCCTAGACTGGCCAGTTTTTCTGGAAAATCAGCCACTTTTCCGGAAAAGCTTGCCAGCTGTCTACAGTGGCCGCTTGAATTTCTGCAAAAGCACTGACTTCCTATTGTAAAAAATCAGTGCTTTTTGTGGAAATACGATGCTGTTCCAGTTCGGGCAAAAGTCCCTTTTGCGTAAAACTTTTCAACCCTCTTCCCAACATTAGTGACCCTCTCCTAAGCGTTTTCTAGATCACTTTACAATTCTTATATTTGCTCCTCCACAATGGAACGATGTTTTTGGAATTAAAACAAATATAAAAATCCTGAGCCAAGACGCACAGCTGGAGTTCTGATGCGAGGAGTGACCCGTCTCCTGTCTGACTACAGTACAAGTTGAGATACAAATGCTAAATCCATGCATGTACGTGACCTTAATGCCCACTAGGAAAGACGCTTTTATTCCTCCACCATTAACACTACAAAACTAAGTAGGCCTGTCCCCTTTAAAATAACTTATCAGTAGCATGCCTGTGTGTGCTTTACTTGATCAAAGTTTAAGAAGCCTTAATGGAAAGAACTATTTTCATTCTACTGTACCTCTTTGCTCATCTGAGCACAGGTCCATTTACAAAAAGATGCCAAACGCCCCATGATGAGTATGTACAATGTTCCTAGCATTTCAACTGGCAGCATATTTCACCGTGCCGGGCTACTGCTGTGTTAAGAGACTGTTGTACAAATGATCTGCTGTCATCAATGTCTTACCTGAGGTACAGCTGGTATAGGAATCATCATCTTGTCCACTACAGTAATGGCATAGTGGAGGGCCAGGGTGGGCAATAAAACATCAGCAATTCACCTGAAGTGCTATATTTACCGACACTTCTGCAGGTACAGGTGATTGTAACTCCCATTGGCTGGGAACAGTGATTCATGGCCAATGGAAGCAGAGGAGGCACAGTTAAATACAGTGCTGTGGGGGTCCACCAGGGGCTAACCGTGGAGGACCGGATTTGACTCTCTGCCTGCTATTTGCCCACCCCTGGTATACAGCCAGGGTAGGGTTTCAAAGCACTTCTTCCGGAAGAAAGCATCTGACAATCTTGAGTAGGGCAAGCTGTAGTTGGAAGCTCATTAGTTATAATGGCAGAAGAAAAGACTACTAGTCTTTTTCCACTTAATGCCATTCAGTTCTGTGACTTGATTAGAAAGCAGTGCATGAATTAACTCATGTCAATGCACCTTGCAAGATAAGATTAGTACAGATTCTTTATTCTCCATCTAGGAGTAGTTCATGAAGGGTCAAGTGTTACAAGAGATTCCATTTAAAAGCAGCTACACAGAAGTAACTTGAATGGGGGAAGGAAGCTTGCTGCATAAGTATTTTACAGCCTTCTGAATGAAAGACACATCAGGACAATGCCATTTGACGAGGATATTTTATTAAAAGTAGATTTAGTGCATACATGTCAGTATTGCCACCGGCCACACTACTCTTTGGGATACATCTTACAACTTCAGCCTTCGGCTCACCGTGCAAAGGCTGTTTGAAAAAGGACTAGGTTGAAGACAGGCTGGTAAGACAGAAAGAACAGCTCTTGAAAATAAGCAGCCTTTATCAGTCTATGGACATTCCCCAGTAGGGGACGGTGTTTGACATCTGTTGCCCTATTACACATAATTAGCTACTATTTTCTGCTGCTCTAATTAATCCCCCACATCAGAGCCCATCGTTCCTTTGATCTACTTGTTAGTTCCTATGTTTCATTCAGCTTTCATCTGAGCCAAGTGATGCTATAGAACCATACTCTCAACTAACATTAGTGGGCCCAAAATGCTGACTTTACTTAATGCATGGAGATAGATTTTAATTCCTGATTCATCAGAGGAGATGTGCCTTAGACCATGAAGATGGTGATTTCACCCAATAGTGAGATGTGGCATATGAATATCAGGCATCATTTAAATACAAAACGGAGAGACTGGATAGTTGAGCCACTTAATCTGCTATCCTAGCTACTCAATTCCCAGTCTCAAAAAAACAAAACAAAAAAAAAAAACTAGCCACTTGTGCAATGCTGTATCTGGCCTGACAGAGGGCATGGGATGTGGCAATTCATACCTAACTAATGCAAGAGGCTATCCTGCATGCTAAAGCCTGCAATTACCCATTTGATCTGAAAATACAGAGTCACACATCTATTGGTTAAAAGTTAGGATGGTCAGCTACAGCTCAGTGGTAACAGCAGGTAGACAACTGGTTTTAAGATTCTACTTTTAAATGACATGGAAAAGATGTTTTGTGCAGGAGGTATGGGATAAAATAGACACTTGGTTAATTTCCCCTGGGCTGTCTCTAATTTAAATCAGACCGTCTTTATTTTACAGTAGCTCTATCCCCACACGTTTCCTTGCAGAACTGTGCCATTCATGAATTCTCTCATCTAGCTCTAGGTTCCACCCAAGAGACTGCTACAACAGTTGGATCATTGAGTGGTATTCATAATCAGAGCAATATTAAAGTAGGTCTTGATCTATTAGGAAGGGTATCAAACCTACTCTCATGGATACATTCAGAATTCATGATGCACATTTCCCATATTATAAACTAGCCCGAACAGTCTGACTTGTTTATTACTGGAAGCGTTGAGCCAGATAAGTAAAGGCGGGGTAAGACAATACAGCTGTGGGCTATGTTATAGGTCCCCTAGGCTGGAACTCAGTGTAGAACACAGGCCTGTGGTCTCCAACCAGTCACAAGGCACTGGAGATGGCAGCCAGCCAGGTGGTCCAGGACTCTTGACTTCCCTGGAAGGGGAAGAACTTAGTGACCTGGCTGGAGGACCAAGCCACAAACTGGAAGCTGCCACTCGGAGAGGGAGAGAGGCTGCAGACTGAGAGAAGATACTAGGTAGAGAGTGTGCTGAGAAGCACCCAGCAACCAGCAGAGCTAATCTCTAGGACAGCCACAGGCCCTGCATGAAGACCTGTGCGATGCCTGACCCTAAGACAAGATAAGGTTGAGAGACTGCAGTGGGCTGTGAAGTACCACACAAGCTCATGGCAGCAAATAAAGCCCAAAAGAGCCGTAATGGGGGTGGGGTGACAAGAAAAGAAGGGGCATGTTTTGCATGGCTACAGGAGGGAGGTGCATGTATGAGCTATGAGGTGAAGGCTAGCCCAGGAGAACACATTGGATGAGAAGCCCAATGAGAAGACTACTGCTGACTCAAAGCAAAGAGTTTGCTGTGGGTGCGTGAGGCTGACCATGTAAGGAGGCAGTGCCCTCTTCAGAAAGCTGTGGGTCAGGGGTGGCTGGAGGCGGGCGGCAGCAGCTGGCGCCCCAGGTGGAATGCGCGATCGGCGCCCCCGCCTGCACAGCCGTCAATGGCATGACGTCATCATTGGGTGCCCCGCTGAAGACAGCCCCCTAGGCGACAGCCGACTCGGCCTATAGTCATAGGCCACCCCTGGTGTGGGTCCAAGTGCAACAGGAAATAAGGAAGGGGAGCTGGGATCAGATCATGCTGGAGACGTTAGGACAGACGCAGCAGCAATGATCATGAACCTGGCAGGTGGTTGTTCCATACACCCAGTCGGACGTAAAACCAAGGTAACAGGTAAGGTGACTGGGCTGGAGAAGGCCCAAACATACATAGGAATAATGAAGCAGAGCAAGCTGTGGTGGGAACTCAAGTCCTTAGTGAAAGGGTGCTTGAGGATCTTGTGGAGCAAGTGAAAGAGCTGTAGAGCAAGCCATGTGAAGAGCTGAAGAAGACCTGGAGTTCCAAAAGGAAAAGTTTAGGGATGCCATGGAGGACCAGTTAACTCCCCAGGCTGCACTTGGAAAAGAGCTAGGGAGCAGGAGCTGAATAAATGAGGCCCAGCTGGGCAGAAATACAAGTGGCCAGTATAAAGCCTAGGCACTGAGGGCAGAAGAGGGCTGCAGGGAGGAAGTCTGCTGTCACTCCCTGTGTGGTGGGCTGTTGTAGGAAGAAGTCCAGGGAAGCAGCAGCAGCAGCAAGGACCAGGACAGTACAGGCAGGCCTGAGCCAGCCACTAGGGAGTGGCACAGGATGTTGGAGAGATCAGCTGGACAGCTGAACTAAGAGGACTGTAATTTCCCCAGAAGAGGAGGAACTTAGGCTATGTCTAGACGGCAGAGCTTTTCCAGGATACGAGTGGAAGGTTTCCGAAAAAGCAGACATGTTCTTTCAGCATCCCTGTATTCCTCTTGGTGAGAGGAATAAGGCATGTTCTGAAAAAGAAGTTTTTTTCGAAATTAGGCCCCGTGTAGATAGGCCAAATTTCGGAAAAGCCTTTTGTGGAAAAAGATACGCAACTTGCGGTTTGCAATTTGCGTATCTTTTTCTGACTATTGTCCGCAGTGTAGACATAGCCTAAGTGACTTGGCCAAAGGGCCATACCAGAAGCTGCTGCTTTAAGAGCAGGAGAAGAAGAGGGGTAGAGAGAACACTGAGGAGGGTGCAGCATCTGACAGAACTAATCCCCCAGGTAGCCAGGAGGAGGTGCCGTGAGCAGTACAGGAACTCTAACCCAGGGCCCTTCTAGCTGTGCAAACAACTCAGCAGCAGCACAAGTGTTTCATCTACTGGCTAGCCTCTGGCTAACAGCCTCTTATTATGAAGAATGATAAGAGGGGAAGAACCTTTCTATATTCCCTCACCCCTTTTAAAGTCAGGTTTAAGAACGAAATAAAAGGAGATATTCAAGTTTAACCACCAGCCATCAAGTTTTTAGTAAAGTATTTGCACAGAACAAGGACAGCTAGAGTCCCTCTTCATGCTGTAAGAGTACAGAATATCCATCTTTCCAGTTGCAGCAGTGAAGTATATTCATCCTCTAAAATTTACTGACCATATTGTATTCAAACTTAAGCTATGGAGAAACACCTACCATATGCTCTTAACATTGCCATAGAAGCACCCCAAACTTTCTTATTTGAGGAGCAGGCTGTTTCATGTACAGCTTAAAATGTGGCCTTCAAAGCAGCTGATGACTTATAAAGAAGAGTTAAATGAAGTAAAGAAACCGTTTGATTAGATGAGTTATAAGTCATGTACCTGTACTACTAAATCAACTGATCTCTTTAGACCATACAACAACTTCCTCTGCTGGCGGAGGCACAGAACACTTCTCCCATCACTCACTCTGATAGTGCCTCAGCCAGTCTAGTACCGTCACAGAGAGGCCTGCTGTGATTTAAGTTTAAATCATACAATCATAAAGCAAAAAACCCAACCTGTGTGGCAGCCTCATATGCCCTTTGTGGAGCCCTTTGGTGATGAGCTCAGACCTCCCTGACCCACGATGGCACATTTAAGAGTCCGCACAGCATAAGTCTAATAGTGAGGATCACAGTCCTCCAGCAAGCTGTCTGTGATGTAACTGGTCTCAAGGACGGTCTCATAATACATTTTTTCTGTAAACGCGTTCACTGTCCAGCCAACCACTTGAACTCCTCGTGAAGACCACTGCCTCACATACTCTCTGTAAAGAACAAAGATACTGTAAGGTGAAGACAAAGACTACCATGAACAAGGACAAAACAAAGAGCTTTCCTATAAAATATACATTCTCCTCGGCATGGGTAGTCTATTTTTGTGTGAAGGTTGAGATTTCTAGATCAAGGTCCAGACACCAGAGAAAATAATAAAATCATCATAATAATTGTAAGTAGGTATAACTGAACCTCTCTAAATTGGGATTCTCTGGTCCAGCAAGAGAATGTTCCAGGACCAGAGAGTCCCGGTGGAGGGCTGGTGCCTGGGAGCCCTGTGGGCCAGCAGGACAGTGGGCTGCCAGCAGCAGAGATGCCCTGTGGGACGAAGTCCAGCATGTCGCAGCAGTGCTGCTCAGTGGGGCTGGGAAGCCTGGTGGGACCAGCAGGGCAATGGAGCTGCTCAGTGGAGATGGTAAATCTGGTGGGGTTGGCAGGGAAGCAGGGCTGGCAAAAGAGAGGGATCTGGCTTGGGGTTGAGGGCTGTGGCACAGGGCCAAAAATGACCTCCTCTGGTATGGCAAAATCCCTTATCTGGGACTGGGCAGGCCCTGAGGATGCTGGAACAGGGATGTCCAACCCGTATAAAGATTTCTGGGTCTGTTCAAACGTGGCTAGAGGTCCACATTTGGCCCACGGTCTGCCTATTACTACCTCTGCTCTGCAGTGACCACATGCCATGCTTCTACAATATCCCTTTACAAACAGGCAACAGCAACACATTTCCATTCTTCATTTTAGCTTAGGGTGTAGCAATGGAGGTAAAAATATGCACTGGGAAGACCAAGACATTATACATATGAAAAAATAAATAAATAGTGAATGTTATTGAATGAGACCTGTTTAAAATGGCATTACAGTACACTCCCTAGAGATTTTAATGTTAGCGTACATCATCCTCTTCTAAAACATGGTCCTACCTTGCCTCTTCCTCCATATTTTATTTCACAATTACCTCAGGAGGAGCTAACATATCTAGAAAATGTATGCTAGATCACTTACTGTGAAATATAATTTTTCTGCATGAGGAAAGCTGACACCCCACACAGGTACCACAAGAAGTGGTGTAGACTCCAGTCCAGAATGATGTCCATTATTATATACCCATAATGCTTCCAGAAGGAATCAAAACGAGGCTTCCCATCTCCCAAATGACTAAGGCTCCATGGTCTATGTGTTAACGCAGTTACGACATTCCTATCCAACTGCCTCATCTGGAAGACCAAGGTAAGAAAACTGTAAGTAGCAGATAATGCCAAGATTCCAGGGCTATATTATAAATTATACGATTTGAACAAAGGAACCTCTGAAGATGAAGACATGAGAGGCACTAGTCTGTGAATTTGCAGTTCTAGCAGAGTTCCTTTCCCTCCAAGATGTTCTTTAACCCTATTTTGAAAGTATTTATTGCAGCTGCTTGTATTGTTTCCCTCAATAATCTCTTTATTGAATGACACTTACGTTAAGACCTGAATCCTGTATTGTTTGTGCACACAAGACTCCCATTTAAATCAAAAGGAGTCCTAGGCTATACATGGGAGCATGAGGGAGCACATGCCTTCCCTCCCCACTGTGTCATAGGTGAAAGGGGGTAAGAGCTGGTCAGCGCCAGCAAGGCCAGAGCCTCTGCATGGCCCAGGGCATATCAGAAGGCCTGGCACCCACAGCAGGAGTCCAGCCACCCTGCATGCACCAACAGCGGAAGGGGAAATGAAGCAACGCAGCCCTGCTCAATCTTCTCTCCTGGCATGTCACTCAGGGGTGGGGGCAGAACTCACTGATGGGAAGCGAAGTGACACAGCCAGGGGAGCAGAGCAAGCTGGGGCTGTGTTGCTCTGCTTCTCCTGCACTGCCAGCGAGTGCAGGGAGCTGGACCATCACTACCAGCCAGTGCCAGACTCCCAACCCCATCACTCTGGGGAGGGCGAGGAGGCGAGGTGGGGACGGAGCAAGAGCAGGGAGGGTGTGAAGCTGGAAGGGGGCAGGCTGTCCCAGCTCCTTTGTGTCATGTGACCGGTGGACCTCTGTGTCCCCCTTCAGCAGTTGTCCTGATGGTAGTTATGGGTGTGCAAGGAAGATAAGATATGCTCTTTAGTCTCACACTTCCCTCTGTGTCCCCCTTCAGCAGTTGTCCCGATGGTAGTTATGCGTGTGCAAGGAAGATGAGATATGCTCTTTAGTCTCACACTTTGGCTTGATAGAAGTTAATGGTTGATTTGCTGATACTGATTAGTGTACAAGTTTAGTCTCTGTAAAAATACATTTAGAGCCGTTTGTAAATTCTCTACGGAAAGGTTGTTTGAGCAGTGTGTTTTCAATGACTAAGCTATGTTTAATTTAATCAGACTGAAGACCACTTCAGGAAATGCCAATTTAACACTATGAAATACAGAGCTCCAAAGGGCAGTTTATTAAATCTAGTGTCTTCAACTTTTGTAATAACTAAGACCTACAGATTGATATATAATTCTAATTGGTCTGTGTAGTGTAATTATTTTATTATACACACAGATGAAATGCAAAGCTTTAATAACAAATTTTATCTTAATATCCCATATCATTATTGAAAAGTATTGATCCTCAGACTGCACACAGGTCACCATCATTACCAATCTTTTAGTCAGGGATTTATGCATTAGGGTAGATATGTTTAATTTTAGCTCTACCCCATCCTGTTGCAAAGCAAGCAGTAAAATGGAAATTAACAATACACAAAGCAGCATTAGTAGCTTACTTCAAGTGTGTTGTTAATTTCATTTTATCACTTGAAGCAAAAAGATGAACAGAAGGGCAGTAATGCTACAACTGACTGCGACAGAGAAGCAGTTGAGAAAACAAGACATGAGAGAGGAGATAGCAAAGAAAGAAGAAAGGAAATTGGAAAGAGATAACCAAAAGGGAAAGACTCAGTGGAAGAGGACAAAGCTAAAGAAACAAATTCAGGAATGTCTATGATTCTGTAAGGTGAGAGGAGAAGAGAAATAGAAGTTGAACAAGGGAACCCTGCACATGGATGAAAGGGCTGACAGATAATGGACATTAGGAGATAATCTGAACATATTCTAAAATTTCATAATAAGATGACATGAATGCAATCTGTTAATAGACACCTTAGAAACTGTTAAATAGGTACCTCGGTGTCAATATCATGAGGTGTCAATTTTAAGCTAATGAGCCTTTATCAGGGTAATTTTTATGAGGGAAGAGTTATTCAGGATTCATAACATGCATATCTAATCTATATGGAAGGGTCTGATGAGGTGGTAATGGTGAAAGGGGGTATATGAGGATTGAAAGTCCAATACCCCAATCCTCCCCTCATTTTGACATCTACTTTTAAGTGTGTTTTTAATTATGTAAGAATGATTCCCACATATTCTGGGGTTGCACGTCTCCACAAGAGTGAACTAAACACATTACCATGACTGTGATGTGGTGTACATAATACTAAAAAAAACCCACATTTAGGAAGTTTTACCTTATAGACGACATCTGGCATGAAAGAACAGACAATGCTACTGTTGTACAAACGAGGAAATTCCAGGTAGAGGAGTTTTAGGGCATCAACTGCCTGTTGATGAAAGATACATATGTAGAATGTATGCTGTAGTCATGGATAACATTTTAGAAGTACATTAGGAAATAGAAAGACCCCACTTTAGTGCTTTTTTCTGGAGGTAGGGGGGTGGAATTAGAAAGTGGAAGAAGGAAAGCAACATTTAAATTGGAAAGGAGGAAAGCAAACCATTACCTATCAAAAGTACCCCAGATCGTGGTGCTAACAACTATGACAAACAGGATAGCCCATCATGATTTCTCCCACACAAGTAGAAGGTAAGGAGTCTCAGTTATTCATGCACTTAAGAGTCAGTGCATTTTGTGACATTACCAAAGCCCAATATGCTAATGAACCACGTTCTAATTATGGTTGGTGGTGTCCTTGTGCAATCGAATGGAAAGAACGAAGCATGAAAGCCTTGTCTCAGTTTTATTAATCTGAACTTAACATTCTGCAAAAACAGGCCCAAAACTTCTCTCGTTGAAGCAAAAGGGAATAGTACCATGGACTTCAATGTGAGCAATCCAGCCAAATGGTGAGTGAAGCGCTCTTAGCAAGAATACCTGATTTGCATGGCCTTTGACATCGAAGTAGATTATGAGGTTATGATGCATACATTCCATAACAGCTTGTCTCAACGTTGGCACTTTTTCACCCCGGAAATCTCTCCTACAGAAAGGTATGAAGAGTTCAGTGAAATGCACACAATACAGGAGAACAAAGAGGAAGGAAAGATTTCATTTGAACTTTGCCTAGGTGTAGAGTATATTAAGTTAAAAACATCAAACATATAAACCAATGGAGCTCCATCTTTGCAAAAAAATAGATACATTCACAGTAACATTTTAGGAGACAGTGTAAATATCCCAGTGAGTTTCTTTTCCTAGATCTTGCAAGAATGGAGATAATTAACATCTTATGTCCAGGTCAAAAGTCTCATCTGAGATCTTCTTGATACTACCTAATTCCTTTCCAATAGCATAATCCGTATGTTCTAGAAAAAAAATTATTCTTCCCACCATTCAGACATGATCACTTAAATAATTTAATCAAGAGATATGTCAATAAAATTCATGTTAGAAATAGCTAATTCAAATCAAATGTTTTTCAGACCAAACCCTATCTTAAAAAGCATTTAATCAAGATTAAGTTGAGGTTAGCACTGCTTACACATTTGAGAATCTCTTCTTTAAACCCAATATTTGGCTTTATGGTTCCTACTCCAAGAAGGGGCAAGGAGACAGATTCTTATCTGCCTCACCATACCACAAGGGGCATCAAATGAATGTGAAAGTCTGGAAAGTTTCAAAGATTATTTAGTCATGGATAGGTCAAAGTCACAATTTTATTTATGATGGATGTTTTGGCACTGTAGAAAGTATTAGTAGACTATGGCTGATTATTTACCATAGTCTATGTTTTGCAGAAGGATTCAGCTTCTTAACTTCTTCAAATGTCAAGTCACGTAAACTCCCAAACCCATCAGTTGTCCTTTCGACTGTATCATCATGCATTAGAATGGGAATGCCATCTGCAGTGAACTCAACATCCAGCTCCACACCTGTGGCTCCATTCTCAGCTGCCTTTTTTTTTTAAAAAAAAAAGAAAGACAAAAGCTATTTAAATATAAAGGTGTGTGCTGCAATGCTTACTTTGTATTACAGAGGCTAAGCTACTAATATTCTCTAAGATTTGTCAGCCCACAGAACACGATGGGCTTTAGCTTAATTCTTATGAGGCCTATATTTGTAGATCTAATATGGAGATATGTCCCATACACCAAATAGTAAATTGCTGAGCAAAAGTACATGTGAAGAATGGAGCGATGTCTGGGTTGATCATGGCCTAGCCGTTGTAGACAATGGATAAATTAATCAGGGGAATAGATCTTAATTGGGAGGCAATCCAGACTTGGGGGAATCTGCATGAATTAAGGTGGAAACCAATTATCTGGGGCCAAGTAACCAAGGCATGTAATAGAGAAGACTCTGGCAGTTTATTTTTCCACCATGCATAGCAGGTATGACAGGGTAGGAAAAGGATACCTCACTGTGGCTTTTTTTCTCACCTAAAAAAATCCTACTCTATCAAATACCAGGTATTTTAAGTATAAACTTCATACACTATTTCTTCTCTGAGGGTGTGTCTACACAGCACCCTAAACTCGAAATAAGATACGCAATTTGCACCATGTAAATTGCGTATCTTATTTTGAATCTATTTCAAAATAGCTTATTTTGAATTTTGGCGTGTCTACCCTGCCAAATTTTGTAATAATGCGTTATTCTCAAAATAGCTTATTTTGAATTTTGGCATGTCTACACTGCCAAATTTTGTAATAATGCGTAATTTTGAGCCATTCCTTATCCCTCTTTCAATTAGGTTTCCCGGGATGGCGAAATAGCATGCCTGTTATATTGAAACATATTTTGAAATAACGGGCAGCTTGTGTAGACATGGGGTAGCTATTTTGGGATACCATGAAATAGCCATACAGTGTAGACGTACCCTAATGATATAACCTGAACTGCTCTCTTTATCCAATACAGTATACAAGATCTTATGACATTTCTATTATAAATTGAAGTGAAAAAAAACTTCTCGGGAAGTAGAAGGGGGGAAACAACTTTGTGAATAAGCTTTGTGGCAGCTGGTAATTTATTTGAATTTTAAATAAATACATAAATTTCAGTTCTGGCGCTCATGGACACAAAGGCAAAATAAACATTTGCTGATTCTCACTTCATTTTATGAAAGCAAAAGAATAGAAATAAGAGTCTAACACAATAGTCCAAAACAGAAGTAATAATAGAAAATTCAAATAATCATATCTGCAAGAAAATTATTTTAACTGAAACAAGATAAAAACTAGAAAATCAGGACATTGTTTTCAAGATAGACTACTAGGGTACGTCTAGACTACAGGTTTCTGTCGACAGAATTTTTGTCGACAGATATTGTTGACAAAACTTCTGTCGACAAAGAGCGTCTAGACAACATTGAGTTCTGTCGACAAAGCAAGCTGCTTTGTCAACATGGTAGTGTAGACGCAAAGGACAGTTTACATGCAATAACACCTTCTGTCGACAGAAACTCTGTCGACAGAAGGCGTTATGCCTCGTAAAATGAGGTTTACCAGCGTCGACAAAACCGCTGAGTTCTGTCGACGTTATGTCGACAGAACTCAGCGGTAGTGTGGACGCAGGTATAGTTTTCGACAAAACCCTGTAGTCTAGACACACCCCTAGATTGCAAGTTTTAGCTGCCTATGGCTAAGTGATAAGAATTTGTGTCCTCTTTCACAATACTGGGATCAGTTTTTACTGTACACTTCCAAGTTCATAACATCAGAGAGATATCTTGATCTTTATGTTAAGTGTGCACATAAACAACTTGTATGCAATAGTTACTAAGGAGAGGAAGCCAGAGTATGACTGATCAGGAAGGTGGTCCACACAATAAAAAGTTTGAATATCCTTGCTCTAGAACCGTGGTCACCAACCAGTCGATCGCAATTGACCCATTCCAGGCCTCCCATTTCTCCCCACCCCCAAGAAGCCCCACTACCTACGTCGAGCGACAACGGAGGTAGTGGCAGCTTCCTGCGGGGTGGACAGAAGTCCTGCAGCTGCGCGTCTCTTTCGGGGGTTCTGGAAACAGGATGGCTACGTCTTTACCCCAAGTCTGTGGCGTGCCAGGAACTTACTGGGTGAGTCCCCCGAGGCGCACGCTGGGGCTTCCCTTCTCTGCGGGAGGGGGGAATCAGGCCCAGACAGGGCGCATGCGCGGGCTTCCCTGTTCTGCGGGAGCAGAGAGTTGGGGCAGAAGGGGGTACATGACGGGGCTGCCGGCGGGTCAACAAACCCCACGCGGAGGG